AAAGTCGTTTCAATAAATAAAGCTATGTATGAATTCAGTTGCTTTCAGTTATGTATCAAATGAAGACACTATCCAGATCATACCCAGCCAGTCAGCCACTGGTACTGTAAGGGCTGTATCCTTCTCCTACAGTGTTCAGTGAAAATATCGCAATGCATCGCAATATTTCAAGTATCATGATGCAACATGATAGAATCGCATCATGGCATGTGAATCGTGATTCGAATTGAACCGTGGCTTCTTTGCCAATACCCACCCCTACTCATTACTGTGCCTGATTTACAGACTGAAGGAGAGACAAGCGTTGCTAATGAGCGCAGCTGTAGCTGAGCAGAAACAAAGAGAAACAACAATAAGAAAAAGATAAAACGCAAAGGATGTCGAAACATATTTGGACTTTGGCAGAATAACCTGATCAGATATTTGCCGGTTCAGATTCAGATGTTAATAAATAACTTTTGTTAACATGCAGTTGTTGTTGTTTTTTTCATTGGTGAATTCTAATGATTGATATTATAATTAGTATGATTATTACATTTATTTTATTATAGCATTTTGACAAAGGTAATTAGCAGTTATACAGTGTACTACTAGAAGTGCTGAAACAATCCCATCAGCACATTTTATTCATTCACTCTAAATTCATCAAGCCCCCTTTTTTGCAACCATTAAAGCATGAATGTTGGTGAGTTTTGGAAAAAGATGTACCATAATCCCAGTGCTCTTGAGTTCACCACCCATCCCCCCCCTTCAAACCTACTACCCAAGCAGAGCAACAAATAGCCCACAGTGTTCAGGTAAAGGGACTGAACCTTTCCATTCCTTAATCCGTTTTTTTAGCTCTCTGCTAATTTCATGCCAGGGGAAACACTGTGGAGGCATTTCCTGTGTTTGTCTGGGGTCGCTGCTTTCTATTACGACATGCACCGTCAGACAAGAGAAACATACACATACACAAATTAGTCTTTTCATTAAGAAGAGACTTGAGAGTGGAGGGCAGGGAGTGTGTGTGCTTTAATGTGTGTGTGGGTGGGTGGTGTTCATTTCCAGGAAGAGGTACAGAGGAGGGAGAGTTTATATACGTGTGTGTGTGTGTTACTAAGTGGTTTCCTTGTCCACCGGGTGTATCCTGTTCAAAGACACACTCACCCTGAGGGTCATACATATGTGTGTGCGTGTATTCTACATTAACTTTATCAACAACAACACACGCACTAATGCCGCAGTTTCTGTTGACTCCACATTCTGTTGACGATAAACCTAATTGTTGTGGTGTCAGGATTGTCGCATCCACAACATCACTGAGGAGAAAATTAGTGTGTTTTTCTGTTTTGTTTTCTTTTGTTTTTTTGTTTTTTTAACGCCAACTTCCGACATGGTCTCTAAGAGAGCGAGAAGGTCAAAGTTTAAAAAGAGATTGTTGAATCATTAAACCTTAAGAGATCAGCAGCACTAAGGTATTGCGTCAGTCATCTCGATGAAACCAAATCTAGTAAATTAGTCCAAGCATGTAATAGATTTTTTTATTGCTGTATTATCAGAACACTATGCCATGATTGGATTTTGATCCCTTTAAATCAAGCAGTTAAACTGTGGGTTGTGTTTTGCATTTTTAAAAATACCTTTTAAAGATAGAGTTACAGCAGAAAAGTGGAAGAGTAGACCTGCAGTGGAAATACCGTATAACATTCATACAGGTATTAGTAATAAATCATTTATTACAGAATTTATGCTGTTAATCTGCACAGAAAAAAAAAGAAAAACAATCAAAATGTTTGGGATCTGTTTACAGCCTTCTTGGATCTGTACCTCAACAATAGGGGTTTTGATTAGTAGAATAGAAAAGTAGAATAGAACAAATAGTATTTGTCCCAACTGTTGCTCCCTAAGCACCAGATAGTGAAGAACATACTTAAAAAGCACAAGAAAATCAGCAACAGAAAAGAGGTATTCAATAAAAAGTAGAAAATAAGTTCCCATTTATTTAGTTTAAATTGAATATTGCAAATGTTATCAATGTTTTTTTTTTTATTGGGTTTTTTTGCCTGTTAGTAAAGTTTTGCTCTTCATGTTGGATTTTTCTGACATTTAGATCCTTTAGCTAAGTCAGTTAGTCGCAAAGAACTAAAGAGATATAATTAACAGATCAGTCAGGAGAATGATACAAAAAATGTCCCACTCTTTATCGATACCATGGTAGAGTATAGGCATTTATGGGGATTGGGATATCGACGGTTGGTTAAAGGGGCCACAAGGGCCAGTGCCTCTGTAGCACTGGTCCTGTCCCCTGTATATACATCTACTACAAAAAAGTTAAATATTATTAAGTTAATTTTTCATTTGATTGAAGCAGGTAATTAGACAATGTATCAATGGAATAAGATGATATATGTCTAAAATAGGAAAAAAAAAAGTTATTAACTTAATTCACATGTATAAAATCCGTTCTTTGGAACAGTATCTGCACAATTTAAGGGCAAATACGCTTATTTTGAGAAATGTTTACTTTTATAGATAGTTTTTGTCCTGTAATATTAAATTTTACAGCACAGAATACAGAAAAGACTGCAACTGTAATGTCGGTTGAACCAATTTAAATATTTCTCTTTTACAGTTTACTATAACCATTATTTCAGAGTTACAGTTAGCTTTAAGCTTCAGTCGTACAAAGATAGGATCCCAGTTTTCATCTGTTGGATCATTGGTTAACGACTTTGGATTTATGGCTCACTTATATACTAAATGATGCGCACTTGCCTTGGTTATTTGATTTTCTGTGTATGTCTTAATGTTTTGTTTTGGCCCCACCCTGGCCCCTCTTGTGAATGTTCTCTCTAATCACCACTAGCCATGGACAGTAGGAAAACTTGATGTTTATAAAACATTATGTATAAAACAAAGCAAAAAGAAAATGGGTCTGGAAGCCTGGATAAGGTGCTGCCAGCAAAACTGAGGGAGCCTCAAAAATTCCTGGTAACTGGTCACTAGTAGTGACATCCTTCATGCATCTAAAGGAGGAGGGTTGTGAGACACATATTATTTCCTTCATGCAGGCCTGCTGAAAATCTCCCAGAACCACATATTATAATCTGATGAAACTAAATTTAATAAACGGCCCCAGATAAGAATGACAGGAATGTTAGCAAAAGATCACCAGTGAGCATCACCAGACAAACGGCATATACTCAGTGAAACATGGTGGCGGCTTCATCATTCTCTGGGATTGTTCTTTATAGAAAATCACGATTTTTTTTTTTTCCAAATTAATGTAATTATTAGCCGGTTCAACTAATCATCGTTTCTCAAACCTGATGATCAGGAGACAGCTTGAAGTTCAACATTAATGTAAGATTGATCAATAAAATATCCTACATCCTTAATTCCAAAACATTGAAATAGAAGAAAAGAAAAAAAACCTCTGAACTTTGTTTTCCAAGTTGAAGACGCTTCTCATCCAGGAAGCTTTTTCAATCCAAAATGTCTGGATTAGCGAAGTTGTGTATGCAGTTCAGTTGAGTGAGGAATGCTCTGATCTTTATATTGGAGAAACCAAACAACCTCTCCACAGACGTATGGCCCAACAAAGACGGGCTACCTCATCCGGACAAGACTAGGGCTGTCCATCTACACCTCCAGACAAAGGACATTATTTTGAGGACCAGAATGTTCACATTTTGGACAAGTAAGACAGGAGGTTTGAAAAGGGTGTGAAGGGAGCCATGTTTGTTAAGAGAGAAAAACCAACCTTAAACAGAGGGGGTGGACACAGGTTCCAGCTCTCAAAAACCTATAACCCAGGGATAGAGTTGATTCCTTCCCACTATCATAATCCTCATCGCCATGCAGGGGACCAAGACATCTCGCCTGGCACGCGAGGCCAGCAATGATCCTAACCAGTCCCCTTTTCAAAGGTATAGACCAGTATCGGGTATTGCTGACTAACCAAGAGCCCAAACGACAGCCCATACCTAAGGGTTGGACCTGCTCTTCTGGTTCAAATTGCATGTTTTCTAAGCCAAAACAAGGCTTTTGTTGGGCTACTCTATAAAGTCTGGAACTCAATGCTAATCCAGGCATTTTGTATTGAAAAAGCTTGCTGGATGGGAAGCGAAACGTCTTCCAACTTGGAATAAAAAGTCCATCGGTTTGTTTTTTTAACTTTTTGATTTCTTGGAATGACTATGACCTTGATAACTGAGAATCTTCACCAGCATAAATGCTTAATTACATCTGTGGGAGGGGGTAACTGTGCTTGAAATGGGCTGTTGACATCAGATCAACCTGACAGCCATTGAGAACCTTCAGAAGGTAGAGAAGATAAGTCCAAGTCAAGCTACTACAGAAAAAGGAATATTTAAAGTGTAAAAGGATTAGAAATCCTTTGCATAATCTTAGAATATTTGGAAGTTTGTTTGATTTTGATATTATAAACGGGTATTTAAACTTAAACCTTTTTTCCTCATTTTTTTTATTTTTATTTTTTAAATTAACTTCAATTTGTTCCTTAGTCTGTAGTTTCTTTTTTCTTCTATTGCATTCTTAGCAGTGAAAATCTGAATTTAACAGCTTCTAATTAATAAGAAAATTATATAACTGGTCAAAAAAATATAAATAAGAAATGACAATCACGTTTTTTTCTTTGTGTACATGCATAAAAGCGTCATCAAAACACAATGAACTGTAATTAATGTTGGGGTGTCCTTCTCACTATTAAATCTAGTGAGAATAAAGTTTTTTTGGATAAGTTATATCAAATGAAAATTACAATCAAAGTTTTAGTAGTTTAGTGAATATGTGGAGAGCATTGCAGATTGTTAGTTTATCTCCCCATAGACTGCTGCTGCTTATCTGGACATGTTTTCCTGCTGAGTATGATTAGAGAGCTCAGATTATTCTCACCAGGAAATGCAGCTGTTCTGTGTTTGGGAGTGCAGCTGATCACCAGGGGGCTCCAGAACTACGTGGGTTTCCTGCTGCCCCCCATTAAAATCATCCACAGCAGCTGTACTTATTAAATACCCCCCAAACAGACCGCAGGCTGCCCGCTGAGCCGCACTGAGCTCACTTTGAATCCCACATTTTAATAGAGGAAAAGAAGCTTTGGAACCAAACAGCGAGTCTCATCAGAGGACTGAGGATCCCCGCTGCAGACCCACGGGTGGAACCCAGACACGCACGCGCTATCTCTGCCCTCCTGCCCTGTTTACGTGCACCCACTTTAAAAAAAACAATGTGAGCGTGTGCGCGCGTGTCCGTGAGGAAGGTGGGACATCGCAGGGACCTTTTTCTCTTTTCCTGATCTGTGTTGGAGCGGAAAAGTGCGGCAGCGGCTGGGAGCGCTCCTGCGGCGGATCTTCACTGAAACTCAGGCTCTGTTCCTGCTGGGCTGTCAGAGGAAACATCTCCAACTTCTGCTTCTTATTCTGGCTGCTAGAAAACATGAAGCTGTTGGAAAAGGAAGCCTGAGCAGGTACTGTAAAGATTTATTACAAGTTTAGATGCGCAGAGGCACAAACCGATTGATCTACGTAACATTTAAAGATCAGTAATAAAAGTCGCTCTAATTAAAGTTAGACCAAAAAGTTATTATGTTTAACCCCGTTAGGTGAATGAACCATTCTGGTATTAGAAGTATGTCAACTCCTAATTATATATTCTACAGTTCCTCTGTTTGGGATGTTTCCCTTATCAGTGAGGGCTTCTGGGTTAGATCCAGAAACAGACTTTATTGAGTTTAAACTGAAGCTTTTCCAAAAACAGAGAAAGTTTTGCATGTTTTCTTTCTGAAGAATTGCTATAGATCCCATATGTTTTATGTTCTATCTATCTATCTATCTATCTATCTATCTATCTATCTATCTATCTATCTATCTATCTATCTATCTATCTGTCTATCTATCTATCTATCTATCTATCTATCTATCTATCTATCTATCT